AAAAAAAAAAAAAAAAAACAGGAAGCAGCACGAAAAACAGGGCAGCAGGCAGCAAGATTCGGAAACAGATTGTCAAAGTCAAACTTGCAAAACTAGCAAATGGCAGCTGCATACAACTCCATAACTGCTTGTAGCAATGCTGCAGAGATTCTTATGTTATGCAATAAAGCGCCTGTCTTCAGCAGTTCAGCTGCGTCGGATGGGGCAGGGTCTGCGATCCGTATCCACTCAGCCTACAGAAACACCATAAATTTCTCAAGTGACTGCTACGAACCCTACTCTCCCGCAGAGACGGGAGCCCTCGTGCCTGCAAGATGTGAGATGCGCTACATCGGGCGAGCGGGTCGATCACAAGGACCTGTCAAGCGGAATGCCTTTGACAAAGGCCAGCTTCAACATTAACAGAGTATAAGACAGTCAAACGAATTCCCATACATCTGATGATGATGATGGATGACAGGGCTCTGAAAAGTAGTTGGGAAGCAGCAGCTCAATGAGGCTTGCCCTGACACGAATCCCGCCTTGTCAAGGATTTCAATAGCTTTGATAAATTCTGATTCTGGGTGCCCTCTCTCCAGCAAGCTATGGTTCCAGGGCTGCCCATCTTTGAAGGCGCGGTACCTAATTGTACTCCAATCTGGTCAAAGCAAAAAAAATTACAGAGGTGATTTTGCAAGTCCTAAAATGCACAGCGAAAGACCTGCTATTTTCAAGTCCTGTTGACGTGGCGCCGCTTCTACGCCCTGGCCATGCCTGGCCTTACCGGGGCCTGGCCTGTCCAACATGTGTTTATGTTTGTGTGTGTGTGTGTGCGCGTGTGAGTGCGCGTGTTTTTGAGATGGGTGTTCCAGTATGTTCCACAAGTCCACATCACCGGCTTCTTGCACAACCTTCCTGTTTTCCAGTCGCTCAGGCAGGATGCATATCGATCCACTTGACGTTGAACGACTCGCCATACTCACGCTGCAAAAATGGGTGCTGCAAGCTGCCCAGCCTTCACAAGACGCTGATGTAAGAGCACTTGTAGCAAAAAAAGATAGGCAGGTCAATGAATAAAAGGCTGCATTGTGCATGGCAATACCACTCGGGCTTGGCTGGCTGGTACTTTGCGGCGTTTACTAGTAACCCCCCCGGTCCGAGCAAGTACGCCTGCTAAAAGGATATGATTCCATGCCAACCACTCGTTGCCATGCTTGGCACAGTAGAGGAGAAAACTGCAGGTTCACATTAAACTTTGGTGGCAAAACTCTTTGTGCTGATCAAAGGACACTTACATGGTAAGAACCAGTGGAAAGCCAAGGATCTCGATGGCCGTCAGGATCCATGTCAAGATAATGCCCAATGCCCAAACGTCAGTTTGCTCGGTTAGTTGTGGAGTTGCGTTTGTGAACGTCTCCGGCGCCATGAAGACCATTGTGCCGACTGGAAGAGCGGGTACCGCCTCAAACCAGTAGCAGGAACAGTGCGAGAACAAAGGACTACGACGTACTACGGCGAAACAGCACTCTACAGGACGAGACACGTAGTCATCCTGTTTCTTCAGCGATGCCAAGCCGAAGTCAATGAGCCTTGCCGTACTGTGCTCGTTGTTGTCAGCCAACAAGACGTTGTCCGGCTTCCTCAAAGCTTGCGATCTCACACAAAACCAACATGTTATTGTTCAACAACCACAACCAGAATACGCGTGCTGTGGCTCAGATCCCGATGAATCACAGCCGGGCAAAGTCCATGAATGTAGCTGACTGCATATGTCACCTCTCGGAAATGCCTCAGGTGATCTGCGAACAGTGCAGACAGCTTGTCGTCCACGCTCGGGCATGATCAGGGCTGTAGATTGTAGACCGACTGGCACAAACCCTTGGGATCCCTTGGGCTTGCGCACAACAAATCCCTCGAAGGAATAGCCGAAGTCGGAGCTTTGTTATGCAGCTGTGAGACCGTCGCAGCTTCTGCAAGTAGGTTCTCCGATCGTCATAGCGGGAGAGGATGCATACATCCTGCCAAGCAAAAAGATTGTCACAGGAGGCTTTGGCACACTTTCCTCGCTGGACAAAAGCAACTTCGATTCGATTTCTGTCAGGGACTGGCTGCCACCTGCACTTCCCCCGCCTCACTCCAGGCCACAAGACCCCGGCTTCTGGAACGCCAAGACATGAGACAGCGGTGACAATTACTACGCACATGTCAGCACTACGCATCCTCCAGAATGCTCTGGAGCGATGGCCCTGCGCAAAGCTCCATTACGAAGAATATTCCATTGCAAGGATCTTCAAACCATTCACGAAACCTTGGCAATGACGCGTAGAATACACGGCACAAAGCAGGCACCAAATAACTGCACGAATTAAAAACGGTGCGGGAGCATGTCCAACCCCATCCGAAAGACTTGATGATGAACGGGTTATCCAAAATCAAGAGGAGCTTGAGCTCATTCTTGATTTCTTGCTCGGCAGCGCGATTGCGAAAGAAGCCATGCCTCGGGATTTGAACAAGTGATAACAGGTTTCTCAAAGACTTGTCGCAATAAGTCTGGACCAAGATTCCAAACAGCTTGCCACTTGATCCTTGCATGGAATATGCAAACACGAAAGGATTGCTCACATTCCTGTGCAAGTCCACAGGCTGGCCATCACTTTACATCACTTTTACAGACCCCAACTGTCGGCTAAGCGACTGCTTCACGGCCACATGGTTGGCTGCATGACTGGCTGATGACTTTTCAGCACCACTGGCCATTGACACATCCGTGATGTTGACACGCCACTTCGAGACCGTTCCATAGGCACCCTGACAAGCTGAAACAAGAAGGAGAGTGCGGAGCAGTCTGCTGCAGTTGTTAGAAGCGGCACGCAAGCATCATTTTCAGCTTCATTACTTGCTTCGGAGGTCTTTGATCACGCCGTCCACCTTGACAGCAATAAGGTCAAACAGTTCAGCAGCCTCTGTCTTGAGTTCGTCTACCCATAACCCTGATTGCCGTTGGTCCCAACCCAACTGGTACATGTACGAGGTGTTCTCGTCACCTCCCAGCTCGAAGCGTGTGTCGTGCGCGATATTGTACACTCTTATTAAGCCCTGCATCTCATTCCCAGCAGACCGCCCTTGCCAGCGGCAATGCAAATCCATGTCATAGTACAGAGCTCTCTTTCCTTTCTTGTTTGTAATTGCTGCGCTGATTTTTGTGGACTGCTCTTGGAGTTCCACAATTTCTAGCGTGGCTTTCCCACTCTGACTAGTGTGGGAGACACCGACGATGGCCTCGCGCACGCGGCAGGTTGCCCAGTGGGAGAAATCTTGCTCTGCAATATACTCGCTGCTTACATGCTGGGCATACCCGGAACCTGCGTGGAGCTCACTGCCTTGCATACGCTGAACCTCTGCAGTCCTTTCATTTTCCTTTTCCTGGTGCTTTTTCTTTGCGGCAGCTTCTGCAGAAGCGTGCAACCTCTTCAGGCGCCCGATCTCCCCTTGCAGGCGCTGCAGCTCAGAAGCTCGTGCCATCTTCCGCGCGTGCTGCAGGGACTGCGTCATGTCATCAACTGCCGGCTTAAATTCCTTTAAGGCCTCGCAAGCCAATGCCCTTCTGTAGTACAGCTTTGACTGGTCGAAATCCTCATCTCCTGCTTGCTTGATTGCCAGAATAGCTGCTGTGGCCTTCTTCTTGGCTCGATCTGGCCAATCGAGCTTCAGTAAACACAGTGCCGCATTACTCAACAGAGTCGCAACAGCGCCAGCAGGCACAGCCGACTGTTCTTTGAGAAGTTCAAGGCCTTTCTCGTAGTGGGCAAGTGCTTCGGCCGGTCTACCTGCTTTGAAGTGCTCATTGCCCTTCAGACGCGCCTCATCAGCATCGCACAGGTCTCTCACAAGCAGCATCTGCTCAAGCTGGATAGGCTCACGCCGTGGCATGTCACCAACCTGCTCCGCATGGCGCAGGTCCGACTCCTCCACCTTCAGGCCCTGGCCTTGAAGCACCATCAGAGCTTGCATGATGCGGGGGTCACGGTGCGCAGCCTGCGCAACCTTCTGGCCAACAGCTCCAGCGGCTGCTGTATCCTCTATGGAGCCCTGAGCATCTCTGGCTAATTGCTGCAGCCGCTTCAACTCTGTCAGGAAGCCAGCATCAGCCAAATGCTTACGCACATCTGCGTTCTGCGCAAGTTTTTCCAGGAGATCAGTTTCGCACAAAGATGTGGTCAGCGGATCCATCCGTGTCTCAGGCGGTGTTCAATCAAAGCTTGCTTACTGGGTGCTTCTTACTGTACTAACATGTATTAACGTTGCAAAGCCACTGCCAACTTGCTCAACTTCCACTATAGAGCAGCTGCCGTCACCACACTTCGCAGACAACCGCAGCAACACATCCAAAGTGTGTTCCTGGTCTGAGCTAGCATCACTTCGCTTGCACGTGTGTCCTCTAGGAGATGACTCGCTCCAACCGCGCCCTCCTAACCTTGCAGAAAATGCACTAGACTGCAGAATGCCTCTCCCAGCACCTTCACATGAGTGTAGAAATCGGTAATGGGCCGTTTTGCGCCCCGCACGCTCCTTACATAGACATTCCGGTGGGCTTTGCATTCAACAACCTGACCTCCAAGTTATAAGCAGGCTTCCAAAGGTCCAGAATGTTGCTGGCCTTATGAGTCTCGCCACCGTGGAGCTCAAGCTCATCGCGGCCTAGCAGGTGGAGTGCATCGGATTGGTAATGGCTTTGCAGGATAAACAGCATCAGTCAAGACACGTATATTCTTGGGCGAGAGGATGCGTCCTCCCGTGAGGGGGTTCGTCGCATGAGCTGGCTAGTAATAATTGACAGCCAGGCAGCCCAGCGAGGATGGCCAGCTGCGTGCGCTTTGTCGTGGCGACTCTCCTGCAGTCTGCACTGTGGTCTAACTGATCGCGCAGATTAAAGATCTCCTTCGCTGTCCCAACCCAAGCTTGACAAGTTGGACAGGGACACGACCCGCCTCGGCTGTCATTTGCGGCTCCGTGTAATTGTCATCATGAAATCTTACATAATGCCTTGGGAACAAGCTAGAATTGTGAGTGGTTGCCAGCGCCACACGATTGCCCGGTAGGGTGAGCAGAGGTAGACAGAACCCTTCGCATGTCGTGCCACTACCGCACCCCCAAACACTTTTACGAGTAGCAAATCAGCACGCTCACGCCTATCTTGTCCTTGAATCCCATCGAGCGGCACTCTCTTCCAGAACAAAATGTCACTGTGTTCCTTCTTAGCATGAGCATGTCTGAGAGTTAGGCACGTGGGAGCCCATCGGCAAGGCCCCTCTTCCCTGAAAATTCCGCATGTTGGCACGCTGCGAGACAGCGTGAAGGCTGGTGTCGCAACAGGCTGCACCTCGCTCTGCCTGCTAAGGTTGCCAGATTCTACCTCTGCAAGAGATGATGGTGACAAACCCCTTCGACCACCTTGAGCTGAAGCTTGCTTCCCAGCAGCAACCCCGCATCCCCAGCCCCAGCTGGTGTTGCGACGAATCGAGTCGTGCAACCCTTGCACAGGACAGCACTAAGGGATGCAATGCGAGTTGACTGCTATCCAGATTCTGCAGGCGCCTCTAGGAACCGGCAATCCAAACATGCAGCCAGGCAAGCGCCCATGACTGCTACACGACACGGCCAACGTCTACACAAAAGGCATTTCTTGTCTGGGGGTGAAGAATGTCCGTCTGGGCAATGGCGGGGCTGTCGGTGCAACGACTTTTGCTTGCATGAGCCAGGCTCCGGTACGCCGTGACGCCTCCTGCTTTGGAACATGTTGTGGAAGGCAAGTAAGAGCTGTGCAATGTTGCCAGAGATCTTGCCCGGAATGAGACCTTTGTAGTACCGCTGTCTTTGAAGCTTTGGCATACACAAGGGAGATTGCGGAATCTTTGATGCTGCCGGGAGGCCACTGTATCCTGCGCAAGCGGTGTATGCCTGAAGGACATCTAGCACTCGCATACAGCGCATGATAGCGCATGCATGTAAATCTCCAAGAAGACATGGGAAGTCCGAGGCGCCCTGTCCATGCTGGGCAACTTTTTCTGGACCGGGTGAGCTGCACGGTCTTTCGCACGCTTCCTGTGCTGCGTGCGGTGCTTGGCAGACTTTGGGGCTTTATCCTTGCAAACTCCTCCGCTCTTGTGAAGCTAGCCAAGGTATGCTTCAGGAAATCTTTCATGTAAAATGACAAAGTGCATGCGCTCGTGCTCTGCTGGTGGCCCTAATCGATTTTTGGATTGTGCCTCATGGTGTCGTAGTGCAACTCCATCAATCCTGACCTGACAACTTGTGAGAAGCGATGGGTGATGCACAGGCCTATGTAAGGCATCAGTTGACTGTCAACGACAGAGGCCAGTCCTACTCATTGCTGGCAACTTACTTTGCGCAAGGGTTGTTAAGGAGACACAGAATTGCCGGGTCTCCTCATAAGATGCTGCTTTCAGTGAAGCAAACGACACCAGCTTCACTCCGCACTTCTTCAAGATCAGAAGGCCACATTACGTGGGAGCCTGTGGGCCCCGCCTCTCGAACCATCACATGACCGCAACTCGGCAAGCCAGCTTCCCCACAACGCCCAGCAGGCGTTTGCATCAAGGATCTCAAGTATTTACCCCTTGGATTTAGAGCTTGTTCGTTCGTGCTTTGTTATGTCACCCCATTGCTCGATTGCTGGCTGGCCAAGCTGTGTCCATAGTTTGGCGTCCGTCGTGTCAGTTGCGCAGCCTGAGGCGGGCCTCGAGCTTGACTTCATCGAGTAACTTTGCAGCGAAGTCTCCATATCCGGCTAGAACGTCCCGGTGCTCGATGCTTTTGCCAACCCAGTTCACTGCTTCCCATCAGACAACCAAAGAAGGAGATTTGCTACCTGCAGAGAGATGGCTTCCTAAAGCTGATCCTCCACTAACCACGGGTACTGAGGTGAGAACTGCAACAGCTGCAGCCACAGGTCCATCTACATAGCAGATCACATTGCTAATATGTCAAACACCTTCTGGTATATCGTCTTGGTCACATGCAAGCGTGGCAGATTCCAAGTGGGCGAGCCCAGAGAAAACGGAAGCTGGACGGCGATCCAAGACCCTGAACTGAAAGAGCAGCTAAGTGCATCCAAGCGTGAACCATAAAATGTGCATAACTTCATGAATGGCTCGCATCGGATCAGGAAAAATCAGTACGTGCGGCAGTTGTGAAATGCAAACGGGTGGCACAATCTACTGTGCATGTATGTGCATATGCAAACGACAACGAACACCGCAATGTAAACGTGAAGGTGGCTTGGAGAAAACACGGTTCCAACTGGATAAAATTGAAAACTCTTCAACACAACGCGGATCAACATGAAAGTGATAGCATTGGCTTTTCTGCCGGCAGCCGCCGAAGCACCACATCAACATACATCAGGAACAAGAAGCTGAACTTAGGAATGCACGAGCTCTTCAACGCGAGCTGGTGTCGCGACGGGGACAGGGAGCCATTGTGAAGATACTCCTGTAGCAACTGTCATAACGAAACAGTACAACTTTCCAAGCTGTGGTCCGACAGTGACTCCTGTATTCCTTTGTGATGCTGACGGGCCCGTCCTCGAAAACATCACCCGTGTCCTGGTACTTGGGAGGAAATCGCTCCAACTCCTGGCCAGGCATATCATAGCACGTCAATTGGCAGGCGCTGACAGACCTGCAGATACCCGCTCCAGCTCTGCTACGGAAGGGCACCAGCTCACATTGCTTTGTCCTCGGTGTCCTTCCAGAACTGCGATTTCGTGGCACGGTACCTGCTCTAACAAGCCACGTGGATAAAATCACCTATTTGGGCAAAAGCTAAAGCCTGTGAGAACATTCGATGCCAATTCAAGGTGCCAAGTCGCCTGACCCTGTTTGTTCAAACAATGCCAGATGAAGTGGCACTTTCAAATGCACTCTTTGGGAAGAAGTGCAAGAGGCGTGCCGTTTTTCCTGGGGCACTTCTCTGGTCCAAGTGCCAGCACGGTGTTTCCGCGGTTGAAGCCTTTGATGGCCAGACGGGTCAACATGTAGCATTAGCCTCCCAGTGGCTAGCTTTAAATGCATCTCTGCCACCCATCTTGTGGTGGTTGCCTAGGCCAGCCCGCAGGTTGAAGCAGACACTAAGGAAGGGCTAACATGTGATACATCCTCTCTCCTGCGGACCTCAATTGGGTTGGCTGCTGCCATGCTGAACAGACTGCAGCTTCGCATCGTGCAGGTGAGCTGCAGTAGAATTGCTTGCCACCACCAAGTGCTGGATTTGGAACCACAAATGGCTCAGGAACAGCATCAATACTCATCCAAATCTTGCTGGTTGACTGGCAAAACAACAAACATGACTCGTCAGAAGACAGGAAAGCCATGTCGCACGAAAGGCAAATCGCAATTGCATGCAACAATCACGCAACAATCTCATCAGTGGAGGCAGGTTGAGGTGAAGACAAGATTGAGAGGTCCCTTTCGCCCTGCAAACCCTCCGAGTGCGACCATCTTTTTTCCCACTTAAACTTGCACAGCGCTGTGTCGAGCTGTCCAAATCGTCAAACTCATCACCGTTGGCCGGCATCAACTGCCAAGCAGGAAGCACAAACCTTAGTTGCACTTCACTCGCCGCCTTCCACGCAGGCACTACTTCAACTAGCAGGCCACCTCTCCTCAGTGGACAGGCTGACCATGGCGTGCGAAGAATTGATGACCTGCCGCAATTTGTCAATGAGAAGTTTGGAAGAGACCATCTGGTGCGCCACTCATCAATTTTTGCATCATGTGATTGAGGATGCAATCAATATGGTGCCTCATCAATTCTTCCTGAGCGCCAGTCATGGCCCTCAAAGCTGGGAGCCAGCTTTGAAGCTGAAGAAGAGCCGAAGCAGCCACACCATCCAATCCACACTCGCCTTGCACGCATAACAACCATGTACTGATGCATGGCGGGTGCCAGGCACAAATTTGGCTTGGCATAGCCTAGCATGTTGGCCGCAGCAAACAAAAATAGTCTTACAACGTTTGCCCACGCAGCAACGATTTACATCCAAGCCACTGCCCTACGCCACAAATGGTCTTGATTCCAGCACCCACTGATTCAGCACTTGGCCCTGTAAGGCGTCGAGGACAATGATGAGCAAACACCTGTGCAACAAAGACCTACAAAGTGATCCGGGTTCGACGTCTGATAGAGCCGAACCCTGCTTGATGTGATCAACTTCATGTCCAATGAAAAGATGACAAGACAAGTTACAACGGTCATTTCAATGTGCTGTTGCTTCGCCTGCAAGTCTCTTCCGAAGTTGAAAACATCAGGGCTTGGCGCCACAACCTCCAACTCCTCTCAGCTCGGCGGGGCTGGCATACAGCACAAATGGACCTGCCCTCTCCTCCGCATCACCTCAGACATGCTTTTAGTGCTGATGATTGACCATGCTTTGGTTGAGATGCTAAATGGGAGCCTCACTGAGATGTTGCAGCACTGGTTCAATGCATGACGTGTTGACACGGTGGCAGGCAAAAACTTGGTCATCACACCTGTCACCTTCAGGAATGCGCATCCAAGCGGCGAAATGCGAGCAGCAAGTGGCAAGTTTTGCCGGTTGGTATGGGTGACAGCGGATGCCTTACCAGAAGCACGAAATTGAACATTGCCAATTCAAAATTGACCGTTGCATGCTAAAGCGAAGTAAATCGAATCAAGGATCCCGTCCAATGCCAGATCAATGGAACCCTTTGCTCCATCCGTGTGGCCAGTATTCGACAATTCGAGCCCGATAGTCCCAAATCCTGCAAAGGCATGCGGCTCAAGTCTTCCTCCCCAAGTTACCAGACCGCACCCCAAAAGTCTCCTGCCATCCGCATTCGCAGCTTGAGAGGCGGTCCTGAAGCTGCTGAACAAAGTCTCGCGTGTTTACTCAGAACCCTTCAATCTACCAGATCTGGCACGTGTGAAGCTTTCCAACCAACAAGGCAGTCTGCGGGAGAGTCAACGCTTTTGAATTTTCCAGCCCCCAAGAGCTTGAAAATGGAGACCCCCACTGGGAATCACGCTTCTGGTGCGGCTGTCCAACTCAAAACGCAAGCTGCGGTGTAATCTCTTTGTCTTTTAGTTTTCCAACCCCTAAAGCCTGAGAATGGAGACTCCCCACAACCCCCTTGGGAATCAACGTTTTGATGGGGCCTTCCGACCAAAAGGCAAACCGCACCATTTTTGGAATTTTCGACCTCCAGAAAGAAAATGGAGACTGCCCCACCAACCCCTCCTGGGAATAACCTTGTCCAACCAAGAACGCAACCTGGGGTGGTCTAAGAATCCCCCTCCTCACAATTGGGAGGCCAATAAATAAGGAACAAAAATGATGACGTTGATGTTGGCATCTGCTACTCTGCCGTGCTATAGGACAGTGGAGGCTCACATGTAAAGCTCATACAATAATCTACTATAACCTGCTATGGCTAATTTTCATAACCTATAATCCATTAGAATCTGATATGATTCAGAAGAATCCTCTGCAGCTGTATAGTCTGCTACAATTTACGAAAAATCCACCATATCTACCATACCCGCCATAATCTCTCATATTTACAATAATCTACGTTAATGTATTCTAATCTACTATGATCTTTTGTAATCTACTATCATCTACTATCATCTA